AAAATAACCTTTGGCTATAATTACACGCAAAAAGCATGGGAGGGGCCATAAAAATGTATTTATTTTATACGTCGCACTACTAGTCAAAGTGTGCCCATTCCAGAATGCCAAGATTGGGGATGCTAAAAACAATATTGAAGAACTGTTTTAGAGTTGAAAGAGAACTGAGGATCTGACATCAGGCAATATTTGCAGAAAAAAGAGAGTAGAGGGTATGACATAGGGCAGTGTGTATGGGGGAAGAGTTTGGATTTAAATGGAGAGGAGGGTGGATTGTAAAGATATAATCAATAACAATAATCAAGAACAACGTATTCTGTATATAATGCAAGTCTTATATTAGTATTACATGTACCCTTAAAAGTCCCCAGGCAATGTTAAAATGCATTACACATTCTGTTTCTATAAACTGTGCCATCTTATAGTCTGGATCCAGCTAAAGGAATCCAAATTGTTTTAAAAATACTGTCTTGAACCCTGGATGTAACTGAGGATTAGATGCCGAGATAGATCTGATGCCAGCTGATGACCTACTGCAAAGTACTCTGCCAGTACCAATTGTCCAAGGGAAAGTGGCACAACAGCTACAATTTCAGCCCCAGTCCCCAAAAGAAAGAAAGCTGGCAGATCTCCAGAAGAGTTAACCATAAGTACAGCAACAGCGACAGACAGATTGCAGAGATCCCAGACACCAATACTGTAAGCCCTACTTTAATGCTCATCACTGTTGCCCCATGGTAATGCATGCCCTCTTGCTATAGGACCACCTGGCCAAAGTCCAGGCCCACAAAGCTGCTATTGTATGTTTTACCAAGAAGTCCAGTTTTGTCTTCTTCCATTGAACATCTTACTGTTCGTTAACAATGTACTCTAGAAGCATCGTGCCCAGCACCCATTCCCCTCCCCCCCATCATTTCCTATACCAAACCCAAACAATTTTTTAACTTGTCTGTTTAATTTCCTATAAATGTGTATATAGACAGAGCTGCCAAAAATGTAGATCAAGGTTACTAAACAGTTTGCCATAAGTAAGAGTGCAATAAATAAGGAAACAACACCAGAAAATACAACTAATGTGCTGTTATCAGTAAGTCCCATTCAAATAATAGTTGCTTAAAAACCAAAAAATATGTGAACTAGTGCTGGTGCCATTAGTAACAGATAAACAGGTGACCACTTCCAGGTGCTCCAGGTGACCCCACATGAGTTTGCCCTCACCATAATAGATGGACCTTCAATTACTAGATAGGTCTCAACCAAAACCCAACCAAAAAAGCGCAGTGAGACCTATCTAGTAATAGAAGGTCCACAGTTCATTAATGTGTAAGTCAGACACATTTTGAAAACTGCAGCAGCCATAATCACATTCATATGTGTTTCCTTATTTTTGGTTTTGAGGACACCTAACCATCACACCTACACTAAATGGTCTAAAGCAGGGGTGCCCAAACTATGGCCCTTCAGGTGTTGAGGAACTGCAAGTCCCATGAGGCCTTGCAAGACTCTGACATCCACAGGCAAGACACCCAGAGGCAGAGGCATGATGGGACTTGTAGTACTTCAACAACTGGAGCGCCATAGTTTGGACATCCCTGGTCTAAAAGTATATGGACAACCTCCAAATTACTGAGTTTAGGAGTTTCCAGAGAAGGTACTGTTAATACAAAGACATTTTACAGATTGTGTGCTTCTAACCTAAACTCAATTTTGGAGCAGGTCCTTTTTAATTCCAGCATCACTGTGGCTATATGCACAGTGCAAGCTCCATGAAGACAAGGTTTGAGGCATTTGGCGCAGGCAAACTCAAGTGGCCTTCATCAGGCCCTGATCTCAATAAGCTTTGGAACAAATGCAGATTGTGACTGTCCCAACCAGGACAGAGGCTTGTGGAGGGGACTAGGGTTAGCCTTTCACCCACTTATTAAGGCCCATGGAGAGACCATATCATTCTCTAATTAATACAAGCCTCGCTCTCAGTGTTCATCACGTTGTTCTCCATCATTAAACACAATACAGCTTCTCTTCTGGAGTGGATGGAAAGGTGTAATATTAATCTGATACTTGTTAATGGTCAGAGGAAATATGGGGCCCTCCTGCAGACTGGGCTAGAGAACCTCCTCCACTTGCGACAGAAATATTTATCAACAATCTCCCTCAAGAAATCTATAAAGATAGATGAATTCCACTTTTTCAGACTTTAGAATATTGTATGAGTTTTGTCTTTTGATGGACAGAATATACTGTGCTTATTCAGGGTTGGAGGTGTGGGGCTGTTTGGGGTGGGCTCTGTGGCTTGTCTGGGTGCTTGGCTGTTGATTAGCTTACTGTTAATTAGATCACTGCTAGCTGCACAGTTTACCGTTTGCACTGTTTAGGATAATGTGATCAAGCTCTTACCTAATCAGTGTAGGTTGTTTATCCCTCCATGTAATATGTTTTTATTGTTCATGTGGGGACTGCCCCTATTTCTGTAGTGTATAAAAACCTGTATTTCTGTTTAATAAAGTAGTTCCAGTTGCACCTAAGCTAGTGTCGCCTAGTCTTGGGTGGGATGCCCAGCTATAATACCTTGTTCCTGTGTCCCAGTGGTGAGGAAGCAGTTCTTTGACAAAATCATCCAATTGGGGGTGACAGGCGGTCCATCACACATATTGAGAGGCAGCTGTTGTCATACAATATCAGAAACACTCTAAAATCTCGTGGAAAAAAAACCTTCCCATAAGAATGGAGGCTGTTATAGACACAAAGGATGGGGGGGGGGGGGGGGGGGGGGGGGGGCGGTCTTAGTGGAAACAGGCCTATGGATTTGGAATGAGATGTGCGAAAAGCTCATCTAGGTATTATAGTCAGGTGTCCACAAACCTTTAACCATATAGTTTATGAGCTAGATATATATATGTTATGTGACTTCTGACAGCATAACTTGTTATCTAGTGAAAAGTCAGACAGAATACACAGAATAGACTTTTATATAATATATATATAAATATTGCATTTATTTCCAATATATTATTTTCCTCAGTAGTACACATATTTTGAAATTAAAAGTCCACCAGTGGCTCTATTAGCTTTAAATCTGGACGGAAAGGTTTAGGTGTGTTCAGGTTATTGACAATCGCTGTGCCTTATCAAGACAAACTGGCATCAGTAAGGTACAGAGGGGTGGCTTGCAAGAACTGTACAGGTATTACACATTCGAAATTCTTTCAACTGGACATTTAGCACAGATATTAGTTACCATTTTGTAAGGAATATCTGCAAAGTCAAAATACAACAGAGGCGGGGTCTATTCAATCACATTTTAGACACCAAATCCCCTTTACACAAGGAAAATGTCAAGGTTCTTAATGCCTGAATGCTGAATGGAAGAGCGGGCCAGCGCTTCCTGGCCCCTGGGAAATGTGAGGCCAGGACATCTTGAGCATTAGAAGGGAGTCTCTGTCCCAGGATAAAACTGAACTCCAGATATGATCTTTATTGTATATACATTGGTCTACCTTGGACCAATGTAAGCATGCATTATTTCACACCTGAGGGACTGCTGGTGAAGTAGCATCTACTGCTATGGTGACTGCAGGCTTCCCCAGTGGTCCCTCAGGTATGAAATATGCACACTTACATTGGTCCAAGGTAGATATGCAATACAGATCATACCTGGAGTTCAGTTTTATCCTGCCACAGAGACTCTCTTCTAATGCTTAAGACATCCTGATCTCACAATTCGCAAATGCCAGGAGTGCTTGTCCGCTCTTCCATTCAGCCCTGTGGTCAGTATGCAGAACATTGGGTCTATCACTGTGGAAGTGCAGACTACTACAGTGATTGTCACCTCCCCAAGCGGTCCCTCGGGTATGAAATATGCATACTTACATTGGTCCAAGCTGGACCAACGTATATGCATTACAGTTATTAGGAGCCAGTGGCAAATTCTGCACATGAAAACTGCAAAGCATCCATTCATAACTAGAATATTATAATTGGAATGATAGACCCTTCAAAGAAAACCTGTACTGAGAGCAATATGTTGGCTGCCATTGCTGATCTCTATTTAAAATGTGAATTGCCTTTCTGCTATGCCAACTAAATTGGAATCCTGACTTTACAAGCTGCATGGGTGTTCCAAGCAAATGATCCAGACAGCATTCAGAACTTAAAAACAAAAAGGCAACCAACATTTTTCGATGGAGGACATCATTGGCAGCCTCCCTATCTCTCTCAAGGTTTTATTCAATCAGCATTGCATTCACATTTGTATTTGCATTATACCAAGTCAACCAATGGGGAAAATGTTTTAGAAAGGAAACAAACATCTTATTGGTTGATATGGTTTAGTTCAAATTTCCCCAAAACGTGGTGTTAGTAAATGATGCTCTACGGCCCAGTAATATCCTACAGGTAACACATTGTGAAAAATGTCTCTGAATAACTTTACATAGATAAATATACTTCCGTACAAAAATATAAAAGGCTCTTGAAATTATGTTATTTGCAGTCATTTTTACAAATTCAGCTTTTTTTTCTTAGTAAAACAAAACATTAAAATTTCCTTCACAGAAGGATATAAGGCAGAAGTGGTCAACCGTCAGCTCACCAGCTATGGAAAAAGTACAGGCCTCAAACTAAAATGTTTTTAGCTTATAGCTGCCAATCAGATTTGAGCTTTCATATTTTTTACTAAGACTATGAAAGCCAGCATCTGATTGGTTGTTATGTAAAACACATTCTTTTACTGCTCCCAAACGTAAGGACTGAAAACACAATACTGCAAATATGATGGGGCAGACCTTTCTAAAGCTCCTTGGCCAAGGCCGCTGTACTTTATCAGAACTGAGTCTTTATGGGCCTCAGGACTGAACTCAGCAACCAATCAGATTGTCCATTTCATGATTCTAGTGTAGGACTGGAAAATGAAAGGGAAAATCTAACTGGTAAATACTGGATGTAAGAAGATTTTTTCTTTAAATGTTTTCAGTCAAAAGGTACTGAAGGACACATTCTAGTTAAAGGAATGGAATTGTGAGTCTGTTAGGTGGGAGATCCAGGCCGCTGTTCAACCAGATCTCTTGGATAATTTGTTCTCTTCGTTCAATCCTTTCGGCAAGATCTGCTGCGTCTGAGCTGCTGTAGAGTGGACGTGGCACTTTGCACAGCTCGCGGAATTCCTCAGAAAAGTGAGACTTGTTGGAGGACTCGTCCTCTTCTTGCTCTTCGCTGCTGCACTCCTCTGACTCTTCAGAGTCCCGGTCCTGCACTACCTGTCCGTTCATCTTCTGAGGAGAGCGCCAGTCCCGTCTCCATGATATATGGATCACCAGAGCAAATAGAGTGATGATCAGTCCAATACAAACACTGGATACAAAGAACAAAGCCGCTGTTTCTGGATGATCTAAATTTAGAGGAAGGCATATCAGTATTAGGTTGTACAGTGTTATTGTGACCTTAGCAATATATGAAATCTGTATACAATGCCAAATATATTGTATGCTGTACCAATACAGGAACTTTTACAGCAATAATAAGCACTCCAAATCTCATACCTGTACACACTTTAGACCAGAGAAATGTTTACATTTCTGCTATGGGTCTACTGATTCAGCAATAACTTAATAAATCATTACTTAACCACTTCCTGTCCGGACACTTTTACCCCCTTCCTGTCCAGGGCAATTTTCAGCTTTCAACGCTATCACACTTTGAATGACAATTGCGCAGTCATGCAACACTGTACCCATATGAATTTTTTACCATTTTTTTGAGACAGATAAAGCTTTATTTTAGTGGTATTTATTCACCGCTGGGATTTTTATTTTTTTTGCTATGTAAATGAAAATGTCCAAAAATTTTGAAAAAAGTGTTATTCTTATAAAATTTTGCAAATAATCTTTCATCATAAATCTTGGCAAAAATGTATTCCATTATCTTTTTAGTAAAAAAAAAAATAAGCCAAATTAGTTTATAATCAAAAATTATCATTTTTAAACATTTTTTTTTACATTTTTATTTTATTTTTTTATATTATTTATGTTTTTTTTTTTTTACATACTGTCACCCTAGCAGTACAGTGTCACCATGGTGACACTGTACTACTTGTGTGGGGTGATGCAGATTTATTTTTTTTTTTTTTATAGTGATTGCTTTTACACCCATATAGGATGCAAAAGTAATCATTTCTCTTTCTCTCTGTCTGCATTCTTGCAGCCATTGAGAACTACTGAGTGAGCTGTGATTGGTCACAGCTTGTCACATGGTACAAGGCTGTTGTGAATAGGAAGAACAACAAAAAGAAGCGCACCAACCTTGCGCATTACCTCAGTAACCAAAATTTATTAAATAAAAGAATAGTACTCACAAACAGCGAATAAAAACAGGCATGTAAGTCCTCAAAATGACTTTAAAGGCAAGATGCAAATGCGAATTCCATCATGGAGGAAGCCACTCAGTACAGCTGACGCGTTTCGAAGGACAAGCCTTCTTCCTCAGAGCTCAGCAGAAGGCTTGTCCTTCGAAACGCGTCAGCTGTACTGAGTGGCTTCCTCCATGATGGGATTCGCATTTGCATCTTGCCTTTAAAGTCGGCCACGTTCAGGCAGCTAGAAATGGTGGGTGCTGTTTATGAACGGCAACCCGCCCCTGGAGTGCCACCGTCCTGCCGTTTATAAACAGCAGGCGGACGGCAAGTGGTTAAGATATATTTCAGGTACAGATAGTTTTCCATAGTTCCATTGGTCCAGCTTGGACCAGTGTAACTATGAATAGACCGTACCAGTATATGCTATTACAGTGATCTCCATTAGCTCCCGAGTCCCGTGTCGAGCAGCTGCGCAGTTGGACCAATTGAACTTTGTAAAAATATCCATACCTGGAATTCATCTTTAGATTAACAAAATAATGCATATATCATTATATCATCACAACAGGCTTTATTCTGTGATATAGTCTTGCAAAAATTTTTTATTTTGTATAAAATCCATAGACAAAAACATTTAATAAAACTAAACTAACTTATTACACTAATTTTATATTTTATTAGTAATTTATTAAACTAATTTAATAAAACTAAATAAAATAAAACTAAATTAACTTTTTGTCAACTTTGATTGCTGTTAGTTAAAAAAAATAGTGTTACTATGGATAAAGGATAAACAATTTTGTTTTATCATTTGCTCTATTTAAAATGTTACTAAAACTACGATTCTTGTCTTATTTAAAGCAGATCTCAACCCAACTCCCACTCCGTTTTTAAAATTTTATCCCCGCCTACCGCCTAAGATACTTACCCATCCAGCGGATCCAGTGCTGTCCCGCTGATTCTCTCATGCCCTGCCACCACTCTGTCCTACACCACCATTTTCTTTCTGATGTTGTCAAGAGGCCCACCGGCTATTTTAGGTTTGCCGGGCAGGCTCCCCGATGATGTGCTGATAGGCTCGCCCTCTCCTCCTCTCCTGAATGAAAGGCTATGTCTCCTGGCATATGTGACATGCATGTTCCAGGAGGTACAGCAGGAAAAGTGCACATCTTTTGCCTAGGCAAATAACGTGCATGGAGATGTAAGCACTGGATAGTTTTGTGTAAAAAAAAACAAAAAAAAAAAACCCAGCACTATATATGCACAGGATGGGAGGAGAGGTTGTTTTAGAGCAGCGGTTCTCAACCTGTAGGTCGCTACCCTTTGGGGGTCAAACGACCCTTTCACAGGGGTCGCCTAAGACCATCGGAAAACACATATTTCTGATGGTCTTAGGAACCGAGACACCGCTGTCAAGACACGGGTCAATCACACCTGGGCACGCCCCCCTCTCTCCGGGTAGGGGGATTTAACTCCCTCTGCCTTCGCTGATTGGTAGACCGGTCCGTCCCTGATTGGTTGGGTTTTGTGCCGGCACGTGCGCAGCTGTTTGATGCGGAGGATTTGTGCGGAGATCTCCCGCCGCTCCGATCATTCTGAAGTTTCCCGCCCTGAACTACCCGACCGGCCGACCCCATGAACTGCCTGAACGTGGCCGATGTCATGCCCGGATCACTTAACAAGATCAGGGGGCAGATCCAGGTTAGTACCTACCCCATCGTACAAGTGGGGGGGGGCTCTGATTGTACCCCGCCCCAGATAAATTATATGGGAACCAGATATATAATTTATGGGGGTGATACATTATTATAGAGGGGGAGAAGGGCAGACAAACTATCATTTGGGGGGGCATTTTTATAGGGATGAGGGGCAGATTATTTGGGGGGGGGTAATCCTTATTGGGGGCAGATGTATTTTTATGGGGGTGATAGATCATTATAGAGGGGAGTGGGGTAATCATCATTATTGGAGGCAGATGTATTTTTAGGGGGGTGATAAAAATATTTCACAATATATAATTACATATTGTTTTTGTGATTAATCACTATGCTTTAATTATGTTCAATTTATAACAATAAAAATATATCCTGCATATCAAATATTTACATTACGATTCATAATAATAGCAAAATTACAGTTATGAAGTAGCAACGAAAATAATTTTTATGGTTGGGGGTCACCACAACATGAGGAACTGTATTAAAGGGGTCGTGGCATTAGGAAGGTTGAGAACCACTGCTTTAGAGAGTGAAGATCCACTTTAATAGATCACTAAAACTATGCTTGTGGTACAAAGCATTGCAAAATGATTTATTTACAAATGAACAAAACTTTTTATTTCAATTTCACAAAATAAAAACCAAAATAGTTTAAATATTTATGTTTAGAAAAATTAAAATAAAACATAAAAATTATAGTTAAGACGAGAAGGAGAACAGGGAGTTAATTAGGCCCGATTAGGGTAATTTTAGAAAAAAAAATTTTTTTTTTTTTTTAATTGTCAGGTTGCCTTAACTGACATTATATTCAATTCAAAGCTCATCCCTTTGATCTGCAGATAAATTATATATAATACACAAAAGTAACAATGTTACTTTAGTATGCCCAGTGTCCACAGTTGGATAAAGTGATCCTATGCCTGGATTAAGCAGGGCAAAGCAACAGGTTCATTAGCTGCTACATTGTCTTTTTTTCCCCTCCCGCTCTGGTTTGCCATTGAGAGTGACTCCAGTGCCCGTACTCCTGGTGCTCTCCTCCTTTCCATGTGAAAGTGCTTGGCTGCACAGGCAACCTATGCAGTCACAGGGGGTATGGAGAGAGTCCTTTTAACCAGAGCAACCTGGATCTTACAAAGTTTCACATGCCTGATGAAGGAGTCCTGCACGGCTTCGAAATGTTACACTTTTTCTCTTGTGATGTAATCTTTTGGCAATAAAAACCTCTTGGGACCATTTTGGAGATCTATGGTGTGCTGGCGAATATGTACATTTAGATCTTACAAAGGACATCTTGTTGATGTTCTTGTGGAATAACAGAGTGTTAAAGAAGCAAAGGGAATATAAATATAAGCACCTCAGGGGAGGGGCAGCTAAGTGATCGCCTTGTGCTGCATGGGCATTAACAGCAGACTTTTGATAGGTGAAACTCACTAAAGTGATTGGGACTGTCTTAATCTCTTTAGAAAAATCCAGCACTCTAGTCCTCATACTACACAATTGTTGGTCTCATATATTATTATGTATGATGGCTTTAAGATGGCCAAACACATGCAGTTGAACTACCTGACCCAAGTTAGACTTAGAGTAGGGGGCTGCCTTATCTGCAACAGCTTTGGCAAAACGCGTGTATAACCCAGTCATTTGGCAATCACGGATCTAATGGGGAGCAAACAAATATTGCAATAGTTACATACATAGTCAGATGAGGTTACTATTGAAATGGGTTTTCATCTGCTCATGTGGTAATGGGCATCAATACCAGACAATAAATGTCGAAGTACATCAAGGGTGATACACTAGCAAGTTTGGTCTAAAATGATATATTTTGCTGATAATTGGCCTGTGTGTGGTGGGTTACAGTAGTTTAATCTGGTTGGCTTGACAAAGGTGCAGGCCACTGGCTAGGGGATGCCCAAGCTACCAGTTGCTAAAAAACAGCAAAATTGACAACTCCACCAGTTCAACCCTTCCATGTGACTCTATTTCACACTGTAAAGACTATATTTCATTTATATGATCTGACAAAGACCTCCAGACCAAATTGTTCTCTGTATCTAGTGAAATAAGGGAACGTCTTACACATTTATTCATGAATGGCTTTAGGAGCTCCTTTACACATACATAACCATATTTTAACCCCTCACTGAACTGGGTTTTCCAGTTTGACATTGCTTTTGATCATTCAGAGGCACTTGTAGGTCAGGACAAATATAACATAACAGTTATAATGAAATAACCACAAATGTCTTTTCTGTGCTCACAGCGTATCAGTTTTATTCAACCCCCAAGTGACATTCAATCTTAGTACTTAGTACAGCATCCTTTTTACAGTATAACAGCTTTTTAAACGTGAAGCATGCAAGCACAAGTGTCTTGCAGCGATGAGGGTATCTTCGCCCATTCTTCATGGGCATCCTCAGTCACATTGGGAAGGCATTGCGCACTGCAACTGCTTTCTTTAAGTCCCACCAGAGGTTCTCAATCGGATTTATGTCTGGTGACTGCGATGGCCACTCCAAAATGTTCCAGCCTTTCCTCTGCAACCATGCTCTAGTGGACTTGGAGGTATGCTGGGATCATTGTCCTGTTGAAAGGTCCAACGTCTCCCAAGCCTCAGGTGTGTGACGGACTGCATACTGTTTCCATCCAATATCTCCTGGTACTGAACAGAATTCATGGTACCTTGCACACTGAAGCTTCCCTGTACCTGCAGAAGGAAACAGCCCCAAAGCATGATTGACCCTCCACCATGCTTCACAGTAGGCAAGGTGTTCTTTTTCATCATAGGCCATAAGTTCTTCCTCCTCCAAACATAGCGAGGCCCAAACAGTTCTAATTTTGTTTCATCAGTCCACAGAACACTATCCCACAACTTTTGTGGTTTGTCCACATGGCTTTTGGCATACTGCAGTCGACTCTTCTTATTCTTTGGAGACAGCAAGGGGGTACGCCTGGGAGTTCTGGCACGGAGGCCTTCATTACGCAGTGTGCGTCTTATTGTCTGGGCTGAAACTTCTGTACCCACATCTGACAAATCTTTTCTCAGTTCCTCAGCAGTCACACGGGGACTTCTCTCCACTCTACGCTTCAGGTAGCGCACAGCAGTCGAAGTCAGCATCTTCTTTCTGCCACGACCAGGTAGCGTTTCAACAGTGCCCTTTGCCTTGAATTTGCGAATGATGCTTCCTAAGGTGTCTCTTGGTATGTTTAACATCTTTGCAATCTTCTTATAGCCATTGCCCTTCCTGTGAAGAGAAATCACCTCTTCTCTTGTCTTCCTGGACCATTCTCTTGCCTTCACCATGGTAACCACACCAGTAAATGTCTAGAAGGAGCTGAGTATCACAGTCATTTTAAAGCTGCCTAATTGGTGCTTATTATGCTTGATTGCTGCTCGGTGACATCCACAGGTGTTTTCAATACCTGATGGAAAGCACCTGTATGAACCTCTGTTCTTCAGAGTGGTAGTCTTTAAGGGGGTTGAATAATTGTGGCAATGAAGAAACCACATAAGAACCATTTACTACTGTATTACATAAACAATTGATGTCATTTTAGTTGCATTTGGGTAGTTACAACGTCCTTGTAGGATTTGATTCTGAATACAATTCCAAATGTACACTATAGTCCCTAAACCCCTTTACAGCATTGGGGTTGAATAATTTTGGACACAACTGTACTCATATATTTTAGGCTCACTGGGCTTTCCATTCACACAGCATGTCAGTACGTACAGGGTTCCTACCTCTGATGTAAGAATAGGCTGCAAGCATGTTACTGAGGAGAAGTCCATCTCTGCTGGGAAGCTGCGACTCCGATGGATGCAGTGTGATATCTGTTTTAAATAAAAATGCACAGACATAGTGAACATCTCCAAATGTGCTGAGAATACTGTGTACAGAAAACAACCACCAAGGAGCAGAATATTTCATATTCCACATAAGCTATGAAATGAGGCGTATCATTCTGAGGACTATGGAATGAGAAGCGCATTCTGATCATTCTTCAGTAGCAAGAAGTAGGTAAATACGAGAGAGGTTGTAAGCTTTAAAATGACATTTATTACACTCTTGCCGGCATTAGATCTGTGGTATTCAACTGGTGGCACACTTGGCCTACCCCCGCTTAGCTATCCTAGTGCTCATAGTCTAGCAAAACACAATGCCCTTCTTAAAAGATATATACAATTAAGGAGAAACTCCAGCTTTGGAAATTAAGGTGGGTATGGTAAAATTAGGAGTTACTAACACAACTGATGATAACCTGCTTTCCTTGCAATGGAAGAGTAGATAGTGTGCAGGTCACAAGCTTATTTCTGGAATAAATTTGTGTCCATCCTCTTCAATACACTAAGGTGGCCATTCTCAAACTTTTTAACATGAAGGAAACCTTGAAATAACTTTTCGGTCTCAGGGAACCCCAGCTAATAATTACTATATCTGGAGCTCACAGTATAATAGTGTGATGGTCAGTGGGAAGAACGCTCCCTACATTTGTGGTCACTGGAAAGAATCCCCCCTTACAAATAGCTAAAAAGATCACTGATGTTGGTGGTTAACTATGTGAGAGTCAAAAACTGATCAGTGCTCAATGAACCCCTAGTAATCTCTGAAGGGACTCTAGGGTTCCATGGAACCCTGGTTGAGAATGGCTGCACTAAGGCAACCAACTTGGACCAATGTAAATTAGCATTTACCATACCTGTGGACCAGGGTTTCTCCGCCAGAGGTCCATGGAACCCAAGGGTTCCTCCAGAGGTTGCTAGGGGTTCCTTCCACAATTAGCAATTTCTGCTACCCAGATAGATGTCCATGGACACCACTGATCTTTTAGCAATCTGTAAGGGGGTAATTCTTCCCAATGACGCTAATGTGTCATGAGTTGTAGATATAGTAATTATTAGTGGGGGTTCCCTGAGACCAGAAAGTTTTTTCAAGGGTTCCTCTGTGTTGAAAAGGCTGAGCAAGGCTGCTGTAGATACTAGAAATCACTGTAGTAGACATTGGTACTCTAAAGGTCTTCATTAACTTCATGGCTTCCCATGCATTTTCTCAATAAATGCAAAGTGTTCACTGACTGGCTGAGGTGGAGAAATGGAGTGGTGACATCACACTTTCCATCTTGTTCAACCAGAGGATGTTTTATATTCATTGAGAAAATGCAAAGCATTCTCTGAATGGCACCCATGCCCAGCGGCTGACCTCCTGTGATCGCAATGCAGCAAGGCAGCTGCTCGGCGCAGGACTCCGAAAACGCACAGATGTGAACTAGATGCATAGGAAATCATGGTAAATTCATTTCTTCAAACTGGAAAACGTACTGAAATCTGTGTGAACCTAGGGTTAAAGAGAGTCATAGCTAAAAGGCCTGGCAGATAGTGTCATGCAATTGCTTGACTCTATACCAACCATTGCCCATTATCATCCAGTTCCTCAGAGTGCACAACACAATCAATGGACAGAGCTCCATAGCTACCTACATTATGGAACTTTGTCATAAACCGATGACTGGTTCTCTTTAGAAAGGAATGATGATGAATATATTTCCAAATAGTCAGGTATATTCTAAGCAAGTCCAGTGCCAAACCATTGGTCATTTTTGTACTAAGTCTGCCATTGCCATAGTTCACCTGTGGCCCTAGGCTTAAGGCAGGGGTGTCAAACTGGCGGCGCTCCATCTGTTGCAAAACTACAAGTCCCATCATGCCTCTATCTTTGGGAGTCATGCTTGTAACTGTCAATCTTGCAATGCCTCATGGGACTTGTAGTTTGGCAACAGCTGGAGGGCCACCAGTTTGACACCTGTGGCTTAAGGTATCAAGAAAGCACCAAAGTGCATCATCTACTGACTGCTGAAGTTTTTTTTTAAATATTTATTTATTTTATTTTTACCTTCAGTGTGCACCAATGGGTTTTGTACCAAAATAATTAAAGCGTAAGTGGTCAGAGCAGAGATTACTAAGGAAGTCACAAGCCTCTCTGCAGTCTCAAGTAACACACCTACTGGGCTTTCCCATCTTATTTATAGTTCCACACTTTTTGATGGTCTTCCACTCTAGCTTGTAATCACTTACACTATTTTTGGCCTTTTCTATAATTTCAACAACATGATTTTGATGAAGAGAATTTGTCTGTAATGTGTACAAAACTGGTTTAGGCTTAAAATATAAGTATGGACATCACTGATCCGATGCTGCATCAGTCCCCCACCAGCTCTGCAGTGAGAACTGAGCTATCAAACACCGTGATCGCTCAGTTCTGCCCTCCACTCTTAGCACAGAGCTGTGACTGTCAGTCTCTGGCTCTCTGCTTTGCCCCACCAGCGCTCACTGGGAAGCGGCTAGCTCAGGCTCCCGGATTGCAGAGAGGCTGAGCCAAGAACCAGTCAAGGATCTCTGATATTATTAGGATCTTTTCAGAACCTGGACTGGCTTTATGACATCAGCCACCCTGGACTTTAGCAGTTTGTTCTGCACTCCTGTGATCTACAGGGAAAGTATAGCCAAAATAGCTTTGGTTATACTTCTACTTTAAATTGTATTACTAGGCAAAACCTATTTTTCCCAATGGTACACAGACAGCAAAAAATAAACTTCCAGGGGTTTTAAACTTCACTACTCTGTCCAAAACAAAGGCTATGCATACACTTTAAAGTAAAACTGTGGCCAGGCTGTGGGCATGAAAAATTTGAGGACATACAAAAAAAAGCTATTTAATGTTACATGCAAATATAAGAAAAGAAAATGGTCATAAAAGAACATTAATCATTATATCCTCCTCCAATCACACTTCGATTTCTTACATTTAAAAAAAAGAAAGAAAACGTTGGAACATACAGTACATACATTCTTTAAATGATCCTTTGCTTTGTCCTGTGTGGGCAAACAAAATGATCACTTAAAGGCTCCTTTCACACAGGGAGTGGACTTTACCAGTTTTCTAAAACGCGATCTGCAGAGGATTGCTTTTCAGAGATGTGTGAGTGGCGGTTTGCTGGTGTTCCTGTTGCCTATTAAACACCATTATTCCTTACTCCAATGCACATTCTACATTGAAATACCATGCAGTTACTGTGTGCTACGCATTTGACACACGATTGAAGCGCGGTTCTGTTGATGTCATTGGATGCACTTGGCAAGCAGAGTGCCTGCTTAGCTCAACAGGTGGCCATGATACTGTGAACAGATTTGAGCTGGCAGTAAAAATGTGGAACAACCACCTATTTTTACTTCCCCCTTAGCACCTGTGTGAACCAGGCCTTAAGCTAGGTTCAGGACTTTGCATGTCGGAAACACGTGCAAAATCATGCGCCTTCCCAAAATGCGTTGCCCTTTAGCAGATGCACAGTGGTGCCATTAATTGTTAGTGTCATCCCCATGTGTCTGCAAATGCTCGCCATGTGGCACCATGCTGTTCATTACGGGGTGTTCTTGGAAAAGAGTTAGGAACTTCTTTTCCATATTTTTTGTGCATAGGGCACCCCATTGAAATAAATAGGCTATCCTACACACAATGAACAGAAATGCACCTGCACATGTTCATACATGTAGGTGTGAACCAAGCCTTAGTTTACTTTCACACTGAGGAGTTTTTGAAGCATTTTTGCATTAAAAAAAGCACCTGAAAAGCTCAAGAAAAATGCTTCCCTAGGTATGTAAATGTATATCTATGTATGTTTTCACACTGAGGCGTTGTGCTTGCGGTGCGGTGTAAAAACTCCTGCTTGCAGCATCTTTGGGGCATGTTTGGTGAGTTTAAAAAAAGCCCCAAAAAAGCCTCTTCCAATTGATATCAATGGAAACGTCTCAAAAACCCCCTTTAAAAACGCCCCTGAGAAGCGTTTTTGGTGCAGTTTTTAAGTCACGTGTCCTTTAAAAATGCTCAGAAAGCATGGTAAAAACGCCTATACGGTTTTGCGGTGGATCAGTGTGAACGTAGCCTTAGGATTAGCCACAAAAAAAAAAACAAAAAACAAAACACACTAACATACACATATCATTTTACATAAACAGTGAAAAAAATGCAACATGTGTGTTTAATAATGCAACATGCCATACAAAACGTTTTAAATCTGCTCTCGGACTATGCATGCAGATTTTAGAAGATGATAAGAATTAGCTTGGGTTTTCCTGCAAAGCATTATGGTAAACAGGAAGTGACATCATAGCGTTCATGCAGTGGTTCTAAAAAACATGCATTTTATCAGCACCGGGAACTGATACATGTCTAAAGTGAATGGGAAAAATGGGGGGAGAACCACATTTCTTGACCATGGATTCCAAGTATTATAAAATCTTTTACTCCATAGAGTTTTATTAGCTTACACTATATTTTTTCACTATTTACAAGATACTAAAGGACGGAAGTTTGCTAAACATGAGGTCTGATATAATATGTAACACTTTTCAGATAAATACTAATGGATTGTGAAATATTTGCACACGAACTTAATGATATTGAATGTCCTCTCTATAGTGCCTTGAGCTGAAGCAATGTTTGCACTTACTATTACGGGAGTAAACTTTAATCGAGAGTAGCGGTGAAATGTGTAACAAAGTCATTTCCATTTGGGTTAAAAACTGGTGAATAAAATCATAAAGTTTATCAAAACCCAAGAACAAAATGTCACATATTGCAGCTTATCAGTCTATAGATGTGATCGCTGCATTTGTTTTCATTTTTTAAGCGTTTTCCTTTATTTTCACCTGGTGATCCTGCCAGTACCACATTTCCTTTCCTAGGATGTCAATGCTCACTCAGTGTAAAGATGGCTATTTGGTACATTCGATGACCGAACAAATGTTGTTCGAAAAGTTTGTTTGCCAACTCCAGGCAAAAAAAAAAAAGTTTTCTAATGCATCCTAGGATGCTCGTTTTTATCCAGGGGAGAGGAGAAAGCTTTATACTCACCCAATCCTCTGCTCCAGTGGCAAACAGCGCTCCCCCGCAAACCAGAGGTGGACTATTCCTGACATCATCATGTACAGAGCAGGTCTTTGGGCTTGAGGAAGTCAGGAACAGTCCACTGCACAAGAACACTAGGCCCACAGTCATAGGGAGAGATCATTTTTTATACCCTAGTAGAAAGGATCAGCAGGAGAAAACAAAGGAAAAAAATAAAATTAATGCAGCCTTCACATCTAAGGACTAATAATCTGCAATGTATTACATTTTTGTTCTTGGTTTTAGATACACTTCATAGGAAATCCAAAATTGTAGGGTTATCACCAGTAAAGAACTAGAAAAAAATGTTTCTGTGGGGACACCTGTCAGATGGTCATTAGCACCACTCCTAGATCTACAAGTTTTGAATTTCAGCTATAAAATAGGAATACAACAGTAGAAAATACCCTAAAAAATACCCAAAAAACCACATATAATTAGGGACCTGACACTGCACTCATTAATGAGGTGCTAACATGTCAACGGGAAAAAGTATTTTAGATAAAAAATATTTTAATCCTCTTCCAAATGCTAGCCATAAGCCGAAGTTGGAGATCCAACCATCAGGTGATCATTTTTCCTATTTTTTTTTAAATGTCCTTTCTAGTAAATTACACGCTTTTATGTTGTCCATGGTCAAAAAAAGTGTCCATTAAAAATAAAATATGAAGATAAGCCATGATAGTTACCATATTTACCATCGTTCTGCTTCAAAGGGGGTATTAGATTAGAAATCTTTGGGTCAACCTCCTTCAGAATGATTTGGGGAACTATAAATGAAAAACAGAATATTGTATGTTTCCCCTTTTTAACGTTCTCGCTATTTTCATTCAGAGGCACCTATTTCTATTTTATGTATTAAATATGACTTGGTTGAAGAATACTGACTTCTTGATGGATGCATCTGTTTAGGGTGGACCAATTGGTCTAGTTATAAAGAGCTAAATGTCAGGTCCACCCTGGGTTCAACAAGCATTCCTCAGTAAATCAATTACCTGATTTGTGCAGCCTGACTGCCATTTTTCTCTGAAAACTGTACTCATTCCAAAAACAAAATCACCAATATCGAGACTTTTTTCTTTAAAAATCTCTAGTTGCACTAACATTTGTGAAAAAAGCAAAGATTATGGATTAAAAAGGGTAATTTATGTGTTGTGGTTAAATTAAGTTGCTTAAAAATGAAATTAAAAGGCAAGCTTCCCCCATTAGAAGAGCTATTATACTCAGACTTCTGGTGGCCCATGTCTATGACCTTCATTTTGTTCCATAATTCATCATTCAAAACTTCTGGGCGTATTGGATGGCTGTCCTCTACCATGATGTGGTTCCTTCCTCTGACGTCTAAGTCACTACCCTATCCACCTTGTGCTGCAAAAAATATTGGACTTCAATGAATCTTACAAAGTCTTGCTATCTCTTTTTTTATTAAGTGTTCTTGCATAGCAAGAGCACTTATTGTTATCTCACAAGTATATTCTTATTCTTATTATAGCCAAATTTGCCACGCTAACTCCTCCCACAGTTTTTTACACTACAAGACAAGTAATATATCAAAACGTGCGGATTGTTTCCGATCGGATTGCTATTACTTTGTGGAACGTTTCGCCGAATCGTTCAAGAAATATCGCGGTTTTTGTGGCAAAATTTTCCCATAGGAATGAATGGTACATGTACAGTGGCAGCAGAGCACAGCTAGAGTGTGGAAGGAAAAATCAGAACATGATTTGTAAACTGCCATCACTCTGTCATTTTCAAGCCCACCTACACATATCTTATATCAAAACGTTCAGCTAACCCTAATGTCACTAAAAATGTTCACGGCTAGGACATACTCCTGATAGTTTTCAGAATATGACCATTTGTTTGCAACTCACCCCTCCCATTGACTTTCATTGAAAATCCACTCTAGCCACCTGAAATTTTAAGGGACGTTTTTAAACTGCGACTGTGCCTTCATTTTTTAGCCCTGCTTCTTGTGATTATCACAATATAAGGCTCTTTGCTGTAGCATTTATACTTTTAAAACTACAAGTGTTTGAAGATGGCAATCGCCAGTGAAGTTGGCAAGTTTAAACAGCATGTTTAGAGCAGAGCTGCTGACATTCCTGACTGAGTGAGTTGCTATAGCAACCAAACATGACTCACACGCAGCTGAGTCACACAGGCTGGACTGTGAGCTCCAAAATACAAGCTGAAATCCATTTCTCCCTCTGTCAGGCTTTGTATGTGCACTGCTTACATTTCATCAATCAGTTGGTAAAGGTTGCGGCAAGAACACTTTACACAATTTCCCCAGAAATTGTAGATTTTCTAGTTATTATTATTTTTCTAAAGAACCATAGTTTTTGGTGACCTCTTTTCTTCAGTATATTTTCATATAGTGTGTTCTAGTCTCTCACTGCTGGCTTCTCTGGCCATTGGACCTGTTATGCCCAGTATTATTCTCTGAAGGTAGAGATGGGTATTTTAGACTTCTCCATCCTGGCATAGTGTGGTATTATGTCTGAAACTTAGACTACCATGGAAAATGAAACTGCAGAATACATGTTCTGCACAGAAACCTGTACTGAGAAAGGTTAGAGGTTGACATTGCTAACAGGTCTTTCTGAAAAGACTAGTTCTCTTACTGTCCAATGGCTTCAGTAGTTTTTGAGTTACTGGCTAGGAACAAGTATGCAGTTCCAACTTTACTCTGACCTTCTTGTATGTTTAAGGTCAATGATCTAAAGTATTGAAGTCAGAGAGCCAGGCAACTAGCATTTTTCTGAAGCATATTGGTAATGGCATCTATTGTATTTCAGTACAGACTTTAATAACGGCTCAAGCAATATTTAAAGCCCAACTCTGGGCAAAAAAAAAAAAAAAAAGTTTACCCCTGCAGTCAGGCTCTGCCCACACTGCATGGGTCAACTGCTCGTTTTGTCTAGGGGTGAGGAGAAAGTTTATACTCACACAATCCTTCGTTCCACCAAAAATGGTGCTCCCCCATGGTCCAGTGGTGGACTGCTCCTGGTCTATGGAGTCTGCTTGGGCTTGATGACATCAGGAACAGTCCACAACTCAAGACCGCTGGAGCGCGGGGGTGCTGGACTAGTCTTGTGCTTGGAGGATTGGAGGATTAGGTAAAGTATATCTCCTATCGCTTCTACCCTACACAAAAACGAGCAGTTAACCTGTGCAGCCCCACTACATAGAAAAACGTTTTCTTTGCCCCGAGATGGGCTTTAAGGGTCATAACAGATAATTTTAAAAAACAATGCAGACAATTATCAAAGCAATTAGACTGTTTAAAAGCTACTAGCTTCCTTACCGCAGGAATAATTTACAGTGAGATGTTTGATGATGCCTGGTAGACAAGGACTTCCAAAATGCTTATCACTGACCAGCATTCGACATCTCTGCTTCCCATAACACCGGTGTGCCAATGCTTCCATCGCAGAATATGACACACAATCTGCAGGGATTGAAGGTAATATCATTAACCTCTTCCATACTGGGCACTTTTACCCCCTTCCTGCCCAGGCCATTTTTCAGGTTTCAGCGCTCTCACACTTTGAATGACAATTGCGCGGTCATACAACATTGTACCCAAACTAAAATTTTATCATTTTCTTCACACAACTAGAGCTTTCTTTTGGTGGTACTTAATCACCGCTGGGGTTTTTATTTTTTGCTAAATTAACAAAAAAAGGCCGAACATTTTGAAAAAAAAAAAACACGTTTTACTTTGTTTCTGTTATAAAAGTTTGCAAATAAATAATTGTTCTTCATAAATTTAGGCCAAGATGTATTCTGCTACATGTCTTTGGTGAAAATAACCCAAATTAGGATGTATTTTTTAGTTTGTAGGAAAGTCATAGAGTTCACAAACTATGATACATATCTGAATATTGATCAATCCTGAAGTACTGACAGCCAATCTAATTTCTTGAGTTCCAAGAATGTCAGAATAGTACAGATATCCCCCAAATGACCCCTTTTTGCAAAGTAGACAGTCCGACGTACTTCATAAGAGGCATGGCGAGTTTTTTGAAGTTGTATTTTTTTTGTCATAATTTTTTGGAAAATGAAAAAATTAAAAAAATTATTTTCACTATTTCTTTTTTACATACTGTCACCAGTGCAGTACAGCGTCATCATATAACTGGCATGGCGGTGAACAGGGACACTGACTGGTGACAGTATGAAAAAAAAAATATTTTTTAAAATTGTTTATTATTTTTAATTAAAAGTTTTTCTTTTTTTTCATATTTCACTATGACCAAAGTAGTACAATGTTACCATAGTAACATTGTACTACTTTAGGGAAGTGATCAGTATTTTTTTTTTTTTTTTTTACACAATTTGCTTATAGCTAAGAATTACTTTGCTATAAGCAAGCATTTACCTGAATGACATTCAGGGTTTTTTTTTTTTGTGCTTAGCTGTGATTTGGCCATGGCTAATCACATGACACAGCTGGGCTGTGATTGGCCCAGCTTGTGCATGTGATCGCCATGACCATTCACAGCTAGGCACACTAGTATACAATGGATGGCATGAATGAAGCCATTCATTGTATACAACTGTCATGTGACCTGCTGTGATTGGTCACAGCAGGTCACATGGTAATGGCAACAGGGCCGGTACTCAGACCTGTCATCGGCCGTGTCCGAGCTGCACGGCTCTGCAGGCGCGCAAACTGCGCATGCCCCAAAGGACGCCATATGGCGTCCACCCGGAACGCTGAGTGATTTTTCCGGCCGCCAATCAGCCATTGGCCGGGCGGCAAAAGGTTAAGATACTGGATCAGGCCTTGGAGGTCAAGTTTATGGAGGATATAAATAAATGGCAGCCATAGACAAGCAGGGCTCTTACGGAGAACAATGGACTTGTGAATGACTTGTCACCTTCTCTTTTTTAACCATTATTTTCAAACGGGGAGAAACTGGACAACAAAGTCTTCTGTAGATGAGATAACTGTTTTTTTCTAATGTGTTATATTTGTAAAACAGGTCCCCACAACAAACTCCCTCACCGAAGCCCTAAAACATTAATCTTTACAAGAACGATTTACGCATGACCAACTGCCACATTTAAACTGACCCTAACAAGTACTATATATCCTATCCCAAACCTTTACCCATAACTCCCAAAACCTAAATTTTATCCTGACCTGATACATCTCAGAGGCCATTTTAGAACCATTTTTTTTACACATTGCTTTGTATTAAATAAATTTTGCATTTAGGCTCTAATAGTGATATGAAATGCAATGTAGTGATAGATCAAGGTTTTCGTAAACAGGCCCCTAGGAGATGGAACTTTGAGGAGGCAATCCAGGTACAAATACACTAAGCTTCTTAAAGAGGAACTGAACTCTGGAAGCTGTGCCCAAAAAAGGACTAGTCACTAGTATTATCAGTGGTTTCCCTGCAGCTGATCCTTCCCAATAACTGACTAACGATATGTAGCACCCTCCTAGTTAGCTAGGGGGAGCTCTAGTTCAAACGTGGGAGAAAGGTCTAGAAGCAATGGGCTGATCTGAGGAGTGGCTGGTCTGTACTCTTAGAGGACCCTGGCCAATCCCCAACAGGAGGCTTGGTAAGGAGCCAGGACAGCCTTTAAGAATAAATGAGACTGCTCTCCTGGAGGAGAGAAGAGTTGGAGGAGAGTTAGGGTGGAAGAGGATTGTGAGGCTGGAGGCAGGAGCCTGTGAGGGGGCCCAGATGGAGAGGGGCTCACCTACAGGCAGAAGATCTTGGAAGGAAGAAAGCTGAGAGAGCACCACCTGTGAGGTAGGGAAGGAGCAGCCCAGCTAAAAGGCCTAGTAGCAGCCTTCAACCCACCAACAACACAGGAGAAGGACTGAGTAAGTAGATCTGCACCCCCTGGGCCAGATAGGGGAAGGAGCACTCTAGTGGGAAAACAGATAAGCCACCACCTGGGACTGTCTTATTTCTTAAAATGACAGACACCGTTCCCTCAGGCAGCCAGACAGAGGAGCATTTTGGTTTGGGGTGGTACTACAGGAGACGCTGGCTAGCTCTCCAAAAGAGACTGTTTTCTGGAACCAGTTGTAAATAGTTCGGGAAGTTGTCTTCAGTTTTTCAGTTCATTGGGCATCCCATAATCCCTTACCCTATCCTAGTTCAATTTCCCTAATAAAACTTAAAAACACAAGTTTAAGGACTGGTTACTGACTCCTAGATGCAAGTTTGTGAAAATGCATGTTGTCTGGCTGTGCAGGAATATAGGGGGACCCCCAAAACTTCAACAACTACTAAGGGGGTAGTGCTGCACCAAGATGGAGGTGACCATCTTTGGTAGAGGCAAGGCTTTGTTCCTTCTGTCCGAACCTCCAGCAAGGAGAACAATGAGCAGCACTTTGCCTTAGATCTCACAGTCCAGATATACAGCTATAATGCTGTGGGGACAGTGGTGCCTAGGCACACTACAATACCAGGAAGTCCTATTTTTCAGGACAAAAGGTATATATTTCAGTGCACTGTTTAAGCACAATCACATTTCTAAATGTTCTCAGTAACATAGCAAATCCTTAAATCTTTAGCTCAGTTCCACATTAATGCAAAGTAAGCAAAGTATGTTATGGTGTGACAATGACAGATAACAGTGCTAAAGATTTGTAGAATAAGGGTTCGGAAAGAAAGAGATAAAAAGAAAGAAAATGTTACTCCCCGAACATCATGTCGTGTAAAACACAGATGTACATTCAATATATTTACTTAAAACCGCTTGGAATTTTCCCATTCCTCCCAAGAGACTAAAAATGAAGCCTATGATGCAACAGAATAGTCTGCTAATTCCAGTGTTTCAAAGAGAACCCACATGTTTATACACAGATGTCACTTATAATCAACATTGGTACTTTTGATCAGATTGTGACTGCTTAACTCTGAAGTCGTGTATGCCCCTTTCTTTCTTCTTATACAGTTGCAAGAAAAAGTATGTGAACCCCTTGGGATTACGTGGAGTTTTGCATAAATTGGGCATAAAATGTGCTCTGAACGTCATCTAAGTCACAACAATAGAAGAACACAGTCTGCTGAACATAATACTACACAAACATTAGATGTTGCCATGGTTTAATTGCACATAACATGTAAACATTCACAGTGCAGGGAGGAAAAAGTATGTGAGGCCCTAGCTTAATGACTTCTCCCAGAGCTAATTGGAGCCAGGAGTGAGCCAACCTTGACTCCAGTCAGTGTGATGATATTGGATGTGTTGCTGACAGCTGTCCTGCCCTTAAAAAACACACACCTGTTTTGGGTTTACTGGTTTCAAGAAGCACTGTCTGGTGTGAACCATGCCTCGCAGAAAAGCGCTCTCAGAAGACCTACAATCAAGAATTGTTGACTTGCATGAAGCTGGAAAGGGTTACAAAAGTATCTCCAAAAGCCTTGATGTTAATGTGTCCACGGTAAGACAGACTGTCTACAAATGGAGAAAGTTTAGCACTGTTGCTACTCTCCCTAGGGGTGGTTGTCCTGTAAAAATGACTGCAAGAGCACAGCGCAGAATGCTGCATGAGGTAAAGAAGAATCCCAGAGTGTCAGCTAAAGACCTACAGAAATCTCTGGCACATGCTAACATTTTTGTTGACACATCTACAATAAGGAAAACATTAAACAAGAATGGAGTACATGGGAGGACACCACGGAGGAAGCCATTGCTGTCCAAAAAGAATATTGCAGCACGTTTGAAGTTTGCAAAAGAGCACCTGGATGTTCCACAGCACTACTGGCAAAATATACTGTGGACAGATGAAGCCAAGATTGAGTTATTTGGGAAGAACACACAACACTATGTGTGGAGAAAAAAAGGCACAGCACACCAACATCAAAACCTCATCCCCACTGTAAAACATGGCGGAGGGAGCATCATGGTTTGGGGCTGCTTTGCTGCCTCAGGGCCTGGACGGATTGTTCTCATTGATGGGAAAATGAATTCCAGAGTTTTTTAAGACATTTTGCAGGAAAACGTACGACCATCTGTCCACCAACTGAAGCTCCGTAGAGGATGGGTGATGCAACAGGACAATGACCCAAAGCATACAAGTAATTCAACAAAACAATGGCTGCAACAGCACAGAATACGCCTTCTTCAGAGGCCCAGTCAGAGTCCTGACCTCAACCGATTGAAATGCTGTGGCATGACCTTAAGAGAGCGATTCACACCAGACATCCCAAGAATATTGCTACACTGAAACAGTTTTGTGAAGAGGAGTGGTCCAAAATTACTCCAGATCGTTGTGCAGGTCTGATCTGCAACTACAGGAAATATTTGGTTGAGGTTATTGCTGCCAAAGGAGGGTCAACCAGTTATTAAGTCCAAAGGTTCACATACTTTTTCCTCCCTGCACTGTGAATGTTTACATGTTATGTGCAATTAAACCATGGCAACATCTAATGTTTGTGTAGTATTATGTTCAGCAGACTGTGTTCTTCTATTGTTGTGACTTCAGAGCACATTTTATGCCCAATTCATGCAAAACTCCACGTAATCCCAAGGGGTTCACATACTTTTTCTTGCAACTGTACAAGACAATCCAACCACTGAAACTATATAATCAAACATATTAGCCTTTTATCACACAAAGGCTTGTCTCTAAAGAGCATATATGATCTAGGCCTAATGCGAAATATCTCAACATTTTGGGATACTGGGCAAAAGATTCCAGTTTTTATCCTCTTCTCTGCCATTGGATGTCTTCTCCATAATGGTGCTTCACAGCTATCTATTTGTAGACAAATTCAGTCTGCCTGCTATCCAAACCTGAGAGTGCTTCCACTCTTGTGTCTTTAGGATCTTGAACTGGGCTGTCACATACCCAACTCTTCGTGTCTCATTACAAAATCAAAAACAGAGATCACTGATATACATATTGTATGCTTACAGTACACATAAATGGCTCACCCTATAGCAAAAATTTGGTTAAAGGCCTCAGCTATCTGATTACCCAATGATTTACTATCTAGAACGATAACCCTTGATGGGAATTACAGTAAGGGTTGGGAAACTTTTATGATCTTCCTACACTTGACTGCTAAAAGGCAAGACAGTTTTTTTTTCTAAAGTGTGAACGATACCACAAATTATGCAGTCGAGTTTCACGCATTTGGGACAATTGCAAGGGAGAGCACAGCCTCAATGGATGAGCCTCACCCTGGGAGAACCACCTTCATGATCATGGTGTCTCCCCTGCCAAGTAAGTATAGGCAAGACAGTTTTGAGAAAAAAAGAAACATTTGCCAACCTTTTCCCTTTTATAAAAACAGTCCATAGAAAATCGGACTGCTGATTGGTTTGGCCCCTCTTTTGTGCCATTAAAAGCATCCACTGTTCTGGGAAGGCTTTTCACAAGATCTTGGAGTATGTTTGTGGGATTGTGCTCCCACTCAGCCAAAAGAGCATTTTCAAGGTCAAATAGAGATGTTAAGTGTAAAGACCTGGCATGTAGTTGGCATTCCAGTTTATCCTGAAGGTGTTCATTAGGTTTGATGTCAGGGCTCTGCTGGCCACTCAAGCTCCTCAAAACCAAACTCAATCCATGTCATTACAAAGCTAATTGTGCACACAGGGCCAAAGCCATGCTGGAACAAAAAAGAGACTCCAGTAAATTGTTGCTAGAAGGTTGAAAGCTCATGGTTGTCTAAGTAGTCCTTTGTATACTGCATCAATAACAGTAGCCTTCACTTGAAATATCTGAACTAAATAATTTGATGGTGGGGGGGATATACTCATACCTTTGGTCATAAAGTAGCAAGCCAGGTTTTCTCATCCAACATCATTACCTAACCTCACATATGCTCTTTTGTTTGAGTGGGAACACATTCCCCAAGCATACTCCAAAATCTTGTAGAAAGCTCTCCCAAAAGAGTCTTTTATAGCCACAAAGTTGAAGAGTGGGTCAACTCATTTGAGGTCTGATATCCTATGGACTGCTTTAATAAGGAGTAGACAATGTTTTTTACCCCTCTCTTTATGCTTTAGGAATTGTTTCCTGCACACCTTTGGCCATATATTGTAGGTGTGTACCTTGTAGTTCTAGGCCAGTTCCTATGGACACTATCTGCAATATTTTAATCAAGCTAAAGTTTTACTTGTTTACATTTGCCAACGTCATGATCAGATATTTCCTTTGCACTCACCATATGGCATCCCTTGGTCTCTATCCGTGGAACACAAGTTCTTTTCATGGGCAAAATAACCGTAGACAGCGGAGTAGATGTTGAGCAATTTGGGCTCCTTACAATGAAGCTTCAACTCGCGGTTTTCACAGACAGATGTGGATTTATATTCAGCTATAAACAGAAGCGCACATTAAGCAAACAGTCTGTGCAAACACTGGCGTTCTATATATAAAGCAAAACATACCATATAGCAGACCAGAGGATCATTGCATGGCACACATATCTTTTAGATGTCACACATCTGTGCTCACTTGGCAAATATCCTACATTTCAATACTGCAAAACTGTCATCACACAATAAAAGTATCACAATTCCCAGTTATGCTGTCTCAAACGTGGTCTATGTACACAGGAAATCAAGGGAACCATTGCTTTCATGTTCCAGAAGAAAGTTTGTTATTTGGAGAATGGAACTGACAGAATGCTATAAAGGAACTAGTGTCTGTAATGACAGAGGCAGCAGGTCAGGCTCTCTTTATGCTTCATGAATTGTTTCCTGTAAAAATATCTTTGCTAACTTCACATCTGCTCGGTGGAAAAACAGCCGAGATAGACCGATGGACATGAAGCGTGACATTCAATAATGGAATTGCAGAAACGAGGCGAATGTACAACTGGTAAAATAAGTATTAAATATGTCACCATTTTTCTAGGTAAATATATTTCTAAAGGTGATATTGACAGGAAATTTTCATCACATGTTGGTAACAACACATGCAATACATACATACAAAAAAACAAAACAAACAAGTTCAGAAATTAAGTTATGTGTAATAAAATGGAATGACACAGGAAAAAAAAGTATGGAACATGCTAATTGAAATTTATTTACTACTTCATACAAAATCCTTTGTTGGACACCTGTATGAAGAAACTAGTCGCATGCATTGCTCAGGTGTGATTTTGGCCCATTCTTCCACACAGTCTTCAAATCTTGAAGGTTCTGTGGGCCTCTTCTATGAACTCTGATCTTTAGTTCTTTCCATAGATTCTCTATTGGATTCAAGTCAGGTGATTGGCTGGGCCATTCTAGTATCTTTATTTTCTTTCTTTGAAACCAAATGAGAATTTCCTTTGCGTTTGGGATCATTGTCTTGCTGAAATGTCCACCCTTGTTTCATCTTCCATCATCCTGGTGGATGGCAGAGATTTTTATCAAGAATGTCTTGGTACATTTTTCCATTCATCCTTCCTTCAATGACATGAAGTTTGCCAGTACTGTATGCTGAAAGACAGCCCCACACCATGATGTTCCCACCTCCATGCTTCAACGTTGGTATGGTGTTTTTGGGGTGATATGCAGTGCCATTTGACCTCCAAACATGGTGTGTATTATGGCATCCAGAGAGTTCAATTTTGATCCCATCTGACCAGACTATATTCACCTAGTATTTCACAGGCTTGTCTAAATATTGTGTAGGAAACTTTAAACAAGCTTCAGCATGCTTTTCTTCAGTAATGGAGTCTAGCGTGGTGAACGTGCATACAGGCCATGGCGGTTGAGTGCATTACTTATCGTTTTCTTTGAAACAATTGTACCTGCTAATTCCAGGTCCGAAGCCCTCCACAAGTGGTCCTTGGCACGTAGACAACTCTTCTGATCACTCTTTTCACTTCTATGTCAGAAATCTTGTGAGGAGCACCTGGTCATGGCCGGTTTATGGTGAAATGATGTTCTTTCCACTTCTGGATTATGGCCCCAACAGTTCTAACTGGAACACAGTGTTGATGGGGGAATCTCTTCTGCAGTGCTATTGTGTTCTGCTGGCGGGGAGTCTGCCCCACCGACAGAACACAATGACCACTGCTGGTGGCCATAGCCTCCAGCAGTGATCATCTGGAAAAATCCAACAGGCTGGTTCAGCACTGGGAGCTGAAGGCGATTACCTGGTTTGAAAGAGCACATGACCTCTTTCATGTGACAAAGTTGAAGGCCAATCATTGCTGTCACAATGGGCCATAGATTGATCGAATTACGGCTGGTCTCTCCTGAACCAACTGAGATTCAATCCATTTATGGCTAGCTTTTGCTCTTGCACGGGAACAGGGTGTGTGTTTGTGGGTGGGGGGGGTTGCTAATGGGCTGCAAGGGTAAATTTAGGCTAACTGAACCTGTCGCTTCAGAACAGGTTCACTTCCAGAATGATCTAGAAATGTTGGGTCCAACTCCAGCCAAAATTTCCTTTCAGTTTTGTACAAAGTAAGAGTAAGAATTTTTTTTGTTGTTGCTGTCTGTGTCTCCATGGGGAACAAAATTCATAATGTCAGCACTAAGAAGAGAGAAGAAAAAGCTGTGGGGATTTCAAATCCCTAGACAGGTGAAGTGGCTGTTTGGTGTTTGACAGCAGGGGGATCGGCAATCTGGTAAAGTGGAGCCGGGGGGGGGGGGGGGGGGGGGGGAGATGGGGTCCAGTGGATGGCTTGAATCGCTGGAGGCTGAGGGAGAGAGCTACTGGAGATGCAGAGAACCAAGTTGTGGGAGAGGCAGGAGAGCCCCAAGCCGAAGCCACTGCCCACTGCCCAGCAGTCGGAGCTTCACTGGTTGGAACCCATCATGAAGGGAGGTCACCCACACTGCTCCTGTGTGAAGTCAGGCTCAAAGTCCCTATGACAAACTTGGGTTCACACTGAAGCTGTATAGGAAATAGCATGTGATTCAGATAGGAATTGCACAGCATTCCTGTTCAAATCGCATGCAATTCTTTGCAGTGCGATTCCAGCCCATGAATGGGCTCAAATCACACTGCAAAGGTATCAGTACTTGGCATCAGCGAGTACTTGACCGAAAGACTCGGTACTTGCACTTGAAAGTAAAAAATGGTTTCGGTGTAAGTCTATCTGACAGGTTCCCTTTAAGTCTGCAGCAAAGAATGAGGGCGGCCTGTACAGGTGCGACATGAATCGCTATAGTCTTCACTCTTGGATCAGATGCAGAGAAACAAGTCCCTGGTCAGGTGCCAGCGACAGTTTTTGAAAAAAAAAAGAAGAAAATCTCTTTCTACTGTTGTAAAATAAGCCTTTTCAGCACTGGCAGAGAGTACACACTTGTTTAATAGGATTATTCTCTCCATTCAGGCGGAAGACAAAGTCCTTTTTCATGTGGTGTAATCAGCACAATGCTCCTGAAAACATCTTGAGTATAGTTGTATCCACACAAGGCAGACAGTGGGGAGCTACTCGGAGCATGACATAACAGGGCGCGGGATGGCCAGAAATGGGCTCTCAAAGGAGAAAAGTTACATTTAATGATCTTTTAATAATGTCTGCTTCTCTTCTGTCATTAATCTTCCTTCTCTCCATGTCGTCCAGCATTGACACAAGGCCCACAACACATGTGTACCGCTCGTTGGCCTACAAGTGGCATTTTAGAAGGAAATCTCCAAACATCATCCTAAGTGGAAGTAAACTCTAAGAACTCTTTCACACTCGCGGTGGAGTGCTGTGCCCCTCTGAAGATCGATCCACGTTCAGATCACTTTTTAAAGGGCATTTGACAGGAGGTAAGGGGGCGTTATATTGCCTCCTCACCACCTGATTTAACCCTTTAATGCCGCTCTACTGCTCTGAAATTGCGTGTGGCTCCATTGAACTCAATGGACAAGTTTGACAAGCAAAGATGCTTTTAAAAGTCTGCGCCCCAAGATAAAGATGCTGGTGGACACGGATCAAGCGGGTGGTCTTGGGACAGTAAAGGCACGGCACAGCTGCCCCCCACCACTGCCCCATCCAAGGCTTCATTCACACCAATATGTTTTATAGTGCTTTTTGCAGAAACGCGCTACAGTCCATTTAACATGGTTTCCTATGAACATGTTCTCATCTATGCTTTTCTGAGCAGCTGCGTTTTTGGAAAAGGTCAGGGATTTTTTTTTAAAAGCAAAAAGCAGCGTTTTTGCTGTAATACAGTTCAACAGAGAATCTGTTGAAATTCATGGTAGTGCGTTTTTGCGGCGTTGCATTTTTATTTTTATTCTGTCCATCAAAAAAAAAATTCCACTTGAAGAAAAAAAAAAAAAAAAAAAAAAAAAGGAGCTGAACAAAACAGAAGACGCAGTAAAAATGCTTCAGAGACACGTGTCGAAAAAGGCTAAACGAACTGCGAAAAGCACTGCAAAACAGACAAAAAGCAAACTGCACAGGTGTGAACAGAGCCTGAAAGAGACCTACCGAAACCCACAACCATCCCATCTGAAAGAGACCTACCGAAACCCATAACCGTCCCATCTGAAAGAAAGCTATCGAAACCCACAACCGTCCCATCTGAAAGAGACCTACCGAAACCCACAACCGTCCCATCTGAAAGAGACCTACCGAAACCCACAACCGTCCCATCTGAAAGAGACCTACCGAAACCCACAACCGTCCTATCTGAAAGAGACCTACCGAAACCCACAACCGTCCCATCTGAAAGAGACCTACCGAAACCCACAACTGTCCCATCTGAAAGAGACCTACCGAAACCCACAACCGTCCCATCTGAAAGAGACCTACCAAAACCAACAACCGTTCCATCTGAAAGAGACCTACCAAAACCAACAACCGTCCCATCTGAAAGAGACCTACCGAAACCCACAACCGTCCCATCTGAAAGACACCTACCGAAACCCACAACCGTCCCATCTGAAAGAGACCTACCAAAACCCACAACCGTTGTATATGAAAGAGACCTGCCAAAACCCACAACCGTCCCAACTGAAAGACACCTACCGAAACCCACAACCCTCCCATCTGAAAGAGACCTACCGAAACCCACAAACGTCCCATCTGAAAGAGACCTACCAAAACCTTCAACCGTCCCATCTGAAAGAGACCTACCGAAAGCCACAACTGTCCCATCTGAAATAGACCTACCGAAACCCACAACCGTCCCATCTGAAAGAGACCTACCAAAACCTTCAACCGTCCCATCTGAAAGAGACCTACCAAAAGCCACAACTGTCCCATCTGAAAGAGACCTACCGAAACCACAACCGTCCCATCTGAAAGAGACCTACCAAAACCCACAACCGTCCCATCTGAAAGAGACCTACCAAAACCCACAACTGTCCCATCTGAAAGAGACCTACCGAAACCCACAACCGTCCCATCTGAAAGAGACCTACCAAAACCCA